TAGACCTCTTGATGGACGTTTACGAAAAATCAGAGACAACCGATATAAGTGTATTCATTGGAAAGAATACTGGGATGTCACTAGTTTAAGTCAATCAATTGGGAATAAGATGCAATAAGATTTTAAATGAAAAGCAAGACAACATCATTGTCTACTAGATTATGTCTTTAATAAAGAATTTATCATGCCTTTGGTACAGTGCCTGGCTGCCATGGTTCTTAAACCATTTATGAATCCAGAAATAAAGACATAATCATGATGCAATTGTTACAGTCTTTAACATCATTGGTAGCAAGTCGAAGCAATCAGCTAATATTAGTTTTTCCCAAGATGTTTTCCTCTGCTTTTAGTTGTTAAACTCATGAAAACGTACAGCTTTGCTCAATGCATCATATTTATATATGGCATAGTTACATGACTAAGGATATTTACCTTGATTATATCATGTTCATAAACATGTTGACATAGCAGAAACGAAAGCTTGCAATTTGGTAGGCTAAATGTACAGTGTTTGGTTCTGTTCAGGCTCATTATTTCAAACTTATGTATTCCATTTTTCTTACTTCAACTTTCATCCATAGTACAAGGATGTCCAACCATTGCACAGTGGTTGAAAAAATGGTTTTAGAATGATAGTGAGCAACTGGAAATCATTCACCATAATTCAGGATTATGAAAATGTTAATCACTTTGAGTTCAGGAATATATATAAAATTGCTTTGACTTGAAAAACACACATTCATGTCAATCAAAATCAACCAAAAAAGAATATACACAATAAAACATTACCATTAATGTCCACACGAGTTTAAAATTTAAATTGGACATTGAAATTTAGTTCAGTAATATATATTTTTTACTTGAAAAAAAAAAACAACCAACGTATTAGCATTTAAAGTTTTAACCCTGCTGTCACTTCATTGACAGTGGATCTTATTTCCTTTTATAACACTGAAGTGAATCAGAATAAATTTAAAAAAAACTACAGGTACATATGGCATTGTCTAGACTTATTTCTGGTGCACATTTGTACTGCTGTCTCCTCCAACTTCAACATGTTATTCAAGGCAATTTCACAGTCCTATATTTGACTTTAGAAAAAACACTGTAAGGTCTAAGAATTTTCAAAGCATTTTCAAACCTCGGTCTGCAGGTACTATTTTTTTTTTTCATTTATAGAATTTTCAAACTACTGGCCCCTTCAGATTTGAACTAGATCAGGTGTGTTTGGGAGGGGATTTTCTATCCCCTCTAATGTCTCCTCTAAGCATTTTCTAAGCATTTTCAAACCTCTGTAGAACTTCAAGTTGGTACAATTCTTAAAAATGGACAAATCATATTTTCATCATAGATTAGATGATAGATAATATATGATGTTGTAACGAGGGTAGTTACAAGGTTAACTCAGTACATTGATATACTCAATGACGTATAGGTAGAAATAAATCTGAACAACGGTACGGTAATTATTATAATGTTGAAATGAAATGTTTTTTTTTTTAATTTTATTTTTGTATTTCATTTTGTGCATCTATAGTCATAGAAGGTCTCACAAAAGTCCCTACACTTTTGTTGTGCCAATAAATCAATTCATCTTTCTATTCAGTAAGTAATGTGAGCTAAGAGTGAGCTAGTACTGTCAGTCAGCATTTATGAAATTCTGAAATGATTCAAGTTATCCATATTTACCAACAATATTCATGCAGCTTGAGTTTTTCGATTCCTAAATAGCCATTTAAGAATAAATAGTGTCATTGTCATTGTTAATTTTCTGTCACACATAGGTGACCATTGCCTCTTGACCTTTTATCACACCATTGGTAAGGGTTAACTGTAGGTAAGGTTATCTGTGGTTGTGACTTGCAGGGTCGCCTACTAATAAATGGGTTTTTTTATTGTCCAAACAGTACCCGTGCAGTCGCAGCCTGTATACGGCTGAATTGATGCAGGGTATTACATAATCAAGACAAATCACAACAATCAAATAATACACATGATACAAATATTTGTTCCACAAATTATTGTGGAACTGTCGCAAGGGTCTATACGGCAGCCATTCGGCGCCAGGTGACCTCAATACGACTTTCCCCAACCGAAGTTAGGTACCCATTCACACCTGGGTGGAGTGAGGAAATTCGTGTAAAGTGCCTTTCCCAAGGGCACAACGTCGGGGCGCATGTTCAGACATGCCCCAGGTACGACTCGGAATCGAACCCGAGTCTCCTGGTTCGTAGTCGATCGCTCTAACCACTACACCACCCGACGCCACTTGTCTTTAAAGGCGGTCTATGTCTGCCAAATATTTACATTTTGAAGAATCAAAGCAAGAAAATTAACATTCTGCCTCGACTTCATCGAAAGAGCAAACTAGATGTAGAATAGAAAGGATTCCGGCCTAGTCCCAACGTAGCGCTGATCTTTAATAGTTGGGGAAAGGCAATGAGCAAAGTTTTTGGATTAGGACCTAAATGTACATCGTGTGAAAGGGACTATAAGGATAGAACATTCTTCTTCTACATGTACAACTTACAAGTAACATTGCAAGTACTTGCTTCACAGCACAGAGGCTCCTTATATTTCTAAATTCTGTTTAAAAAAAATATACAAAGCAATTATCACTTGAGCCAACTGCAGATTCCTTGAAATTTGTGTTTCTTGGGTCTGATTGCTTTTCTTAGATGAGGGATGGATTATACTTTCTGACTGCGTCACTTTGGCTTCTTGCAAACGTAGGATAGGGTCACCCAGCACTTGTTGTCGTCCCACTGTCCTTTCTTGCCTTTTGCGCCCAGCCAAAAGCTCCCTTCGTCCTGTCAAAAATGTTCCATGTACCAACACGTTACACATGCAATGCAGCAGGTAAGGCCAAACCTACATGGACCATAGCAGGATGCATGTAGGTGCAGACACCATAGACATGAGAAATATCTGCTCAGTTCGGATTTCACCTGCACTAATACATATGCAGGTGTTCTAGCATTTAGAGCAAGCAACACATAATAAAGAGGCATGCAAATTCCTCCATGCATGAAGGTAATGAAAGAAAAATTAAATGGTAAAATTAAATGATCTTACCCTAGAGTACATAGCACCACAATTCTCTCCCTGCCCAACTGACAACCACGCCTTGTTGTTAGGCTCACCCGGGGCCCAGTTCGTGTAGGTAATAGCTGACCCATCGGTAAACGTGCATCTCCCATTAGTACGATGCCATCCGAACCAGACGACGTGACGTAATCTCCCTTTCGGGGCTGGAGTTAAGTGACAACATAGTGTGTCACTAATAATGCAGCCTCTTTATACCGTATTCATGAATACTATCAGTTTTAACACAGTAAATGGCGAAGCATTGCTGGCAAATGTGACTTTCTGTCAAAAGCATTCAGCAGAATTTTGATTTTGTTATATTCTTAACCGAAGATCAAAATAACTTCAAACGTTATTGATAATCATCATAAAAATTTACGTTTTAGCCTTCGCCAGATATGCTGACCGTCTTGCAGGTTGCTTAGTGCTATTTCTGTGCTGTAAATGTCATAACATTTTGACTAACTTGTTGTTACAGTATTTCCTGCAAAACAACTACTGGGCCATACCTAATTACAGGACTCGAAATTAATTGTGTGCCGATGGCCAGTGACCAGTAAAATATAAGCCGGGACAACTAAAAATATCGGGGCATTTTTGGGACTGTCACAATAGAAAAATAATCAACATCAGAATGTCAGCCCTTTTCTTGTCTGGCTACGCCGAAAAAGCTCCCCAGAATTTTCCATTTACTCTGCAATTATAGTGCACCTGGAAGTCAAAACGAAAGCAAAATAAAGCTGACTTCAAGCTAACTTCCTGAAAAAAAAAAACATGCTGGGACAGTTCATCCTCACCTCGGGACAATTGGAATTTATTTTCGGGAATGTGTTGGGAAAATTGGAAAAATGATAGTTTTGAGGCCTGCCTAAAGGTGGATTACCGATTGTTCAAAACAAGTATCAAATGTGAAACTTGCCTAAACTAAAGGTGGTGGTCCACAGACAATTCAAAACAAAAATTGATTGTAAAATTCATCAAAAATTATGATTATTATATTATAACCCACCATTGTAGATGAGACTTGCAATGAAGTCGTTTTCCCCACGGCTTTTAATAGAAGCCAGGTTTGCACCTTGTTGTTTGCATTTTGAGTTTGCTTTGGACCATTTCTCCTTGTTTCTCTCAAACTTGTAGCAGTGGTTGTTGTGTTCCACCCACCCACTTTGGCATGGCTCGGCTGTAACAAACAGTACTTGTATTAAATTGAAAGGTTTATTGCAAATTCGTGCCCGGAGGCTAAATACTATGTCTGAAGGGTTTGACTTCTATTTTGTAAACCATGGAAGACGTAATGTCCCACCAAATTTGTGAGTTTTTGGAAGTTAAAAGAAGAATAGTTTTTCTTGATCTGTAAGTTTTGAGAAATTGGGATAAATTGTACAAGTTTGAATGGTCAACTCGAGCGTTGTTATGGAATGGACAGTTTGAAATTAAAATAATTGGGTATAGATGCTTCCAGTTATAGTCTGATGTAGACCACCTGACTTAGTCTCTTACACACATGTTGCAGTGTTGTTGTTTTTTTCTGCTTGTTACACTTCGGCATCGCCAGACTAGCTGTTGTGAGATATCACAAAATAGGTACCAGTATAAAACTGTTGGGTGCAATGGGTCTAGAGAAACCGTTTTGATAATGCTGGTGATTGAAAACTCGACTATAGCAGTTAGACACAGATAATGGAAAAGAGTGATAAACCGAAACAGGCTAAAATATGGTGGGGGGGGGGACTTATAAAGGCGTTCAGCATCACAAGTTAGTTTTCTCACCCTTTATTGTTAACATAATTTAAACAATTCAAATGAACAAACTACAACTGCATGAAAATCCATTAAATAAAGCCAGTTAATCAAGTTTTCCTCATAGTATGCTTGCAGATTTTTGTCATAACGAAATTTGATTAAAAAATCACCTTGCTGACAGTTCTTTCCAGTCCATCCAGGTGAGCAGGTACATTTGTATCCTCCAACTTGGTTCACACAGGTTCCATGTCGGCATGGGCTTCTGATGCACTCATTGATGTCTGTAGTTCCAAGATAATAACAATGCATTTAAAAAACCAATTGCCCAGAAAAGGGGAAAAAAGGATTGCTGAATAACTATAAGCAAATTGCTACAAGTATGAAATTCACCTTGGTGACAGCTCTTTCCAGTCCATCCAGATGAGCAGACACATCTGTATCCGCCATCTTGGTTCACACAGCGTCCATGCCGGCATGGGTTTCTGGTGCACTCATTGATGTCTGAGTGATGGCAAAAAAAATCCATAAACAAAACCAATCATCAAGAAAAGAACAATAGGTGAGACAATGGCGATAATTTGCACGCAAATTGAATGATAGCTGCACTATTAGAAAGTCACCTTGCCGACAGTTCTGTCCAGTCCATCCAGGTGAGCAAGTACATTTGTATCCGCCAACTTGGTTTAAACAGCGTCCATGTTGACATGGGTTCCTGGTACACTCATTGATGTCTGAGTGATGGCAAAAAATACATGACTAACACCAATTATCAATGTTGTCTGTGTGCAGGAGACCTAAAGTTGTTTAAAAGCAAAGTTAAACAAAAAGATAAAGGAATGCTGAAAATTTAAACTTGAATGGAAATAAGAAACATAAGAAACTCACCCTGTTTACAGTTCTGTCCAGTCCATCCAGGTAAGCAGGTACATTTGTATCCACCAGCTATGTTCACACAGGTTCCATGTTGGCATGGTCTCCGTATGCACTCATTGATATCTGATAAACAAAAAATACCACTATTCATAAATACAACCATCATTAGGGAAGAGAGAGATGGCAAAGAAGAGAGAGAATAGAATTAGGAAAATTGCTGCATACATGACAAATGCTTAACATATACAGATCTAGAGAGAACTAACCTTGCTGACAGTTCTGTCCAGCCCATCCAGGCAAGCAGGTACACTTGTATCCACCATCGTTGTTCACACAGCGCCCGTGTTTGCATGGGTTTCTGATGCACTCATTGATGTCTGTTAAAATAATTGAATTAATCCATCATTAAGGAAGAGAGAAATGAAGAAATAAAGAGAAAGGGAAATCGAAAAAAAAGGTTGGAATTATAAAAAAAATTATGTATTCATGACAAACTAAAAGGAACGCACCTTGCTGACAGTTCTGTCCAGTCCATCCAGGTGAGCAGGTACATTTGTATCCGCCATCTTTGTTCACACAGGTTCCATGTTGGCAAGGGCGTCGGGCACATTCATTGATGTCTGTGGAAAAAAACAAATATTGGAAGGAAATCAGTTAAAACACACTCAGTCTTACAACACATTCTTTTCTGCCTTAATATACACAAAATGAACTGTGCGCAAATTGAACTCACCTTGCTGACAGTTCTGTCCAGTCCATCCAGGTGAGCAGGTACATTTGTATCCGCCATCTTTGTTCACACAGGTTCCGTGTTGGCAGGGGCGTCGGGCACATTCATTGATGTCTGTGTGGAAAAAATATTGGAAGGAAATCAGTTGAAACACACTCAGTATTACACCACATACTTTTCTGCCATAATATGCACAAAATGAACTGTACGCAAATTGAACTTACCCTGCTGGCAGTTCTTTCCAGTCCAACCAGGTGAGCAGGCACATTTGTATCCGCCATCTTTGTTAACACATATTCCGTGTTGGCATGGCTTTCTGTTGCACTCATTGATGTCTGAAATAAAACACAAGAAGTAAAACCCATTATATCCATCTGCAGCAAAGAATTTGCCACTGTTGTAATAAGATAAAATTGTGGGTGAGTGTTTGTTGTTAATTTTGCATTATAAGGACATAAACATACGACAAAGGTCTTTTAATTATGCGTTAGTTCTTTAACACGAAAGAGAGATAGTAAAAGAAAGAAAGGAAATGGATGGAAAAACTATAATATTGATGTATTTAAATGCCATAGCCTAATAATTAGTAGATCTTACTTAATACTTCTTTTTCAACTATTGTTCACTGAAAAACTACGTATCAAGCAGAAACAAATTATACCTATTAAGCTTCCATAGCTTAGCTTACATGTACATACATAAAATAATAATCACCTTGTCGACAGTTCTGTCCAGTCCATCCATTTAGGCAGCTGCAGATGTACTTGCCAGGTTGGTTTGCACAGCGTCCATGCTGGCATGGTTTCCCAGTACACTCATTAATGTCTGAGGGATAGAAATGTACAGTACTGTAAGTTGCACATTAGACTGATTGCAAATTAATACAACACTAAATACATTTACCAAATTTTACAGTAAGATTTCAACTAATCATAAATGGTAAATAAAGGACAAAAATAGGCACCAAACCATTATAAAATTCAGCCATTATACTGTAGTTTATGCACAAATAACTCACCTTGGTGGCAGTTCTGTCCAGTCCATCCAGGTGAGCAGGTGCATTTGTGTCCGCCATCTTTGTTTAAACAGGTTCCATGTAGGCAGGGTTTCTTGATACATTCGTCGATATCTAAGTAAAGAAAATGGAATGTCAGTTACAAATTGAGGAGACAACTTAGGAAAGAGAGAAAGAAAATTAAACAGAAAGTTGAAGGCAGAATAGAAAATAGGAATTCACCTTGCTGACAGTTCTGTCCAGTCCATCCAGGTGAGCAGGTACATTTGTATCCGCCATCTTTGTTGACACAGGTTCCATGTTGGCATGGTTTGCTGGTGCACTCATTGATGTCTGTGTGATAAAGAGAGAAATATCAATGAGAAATTTATGAAAAATAGCAATAAAATTATTCAAAAAGAAATTTTAAGGCAGAATAGAAAATAGAAACTCACCATGCTGACAGTTCTGTCCAGTCCATCCAGGTGAGCAGGTACATTTGTATCCACCATCGTTGTTCACACAGGTTCCATGTTGGCAAGGTTTGCTGGTACACTCATTGATGTCTATGCGAAAAATAAAGAAATATTAGTGACAAATTTATGAAAAAGAGAAAGAAAATACAATAGAAAGAAACTTTAAGACAGATTAGATGAAAACATGAAATCACCTTGCTGACAGTTTTGTCCAGTCCATCCAGGTGAGCAGGTACATTTGTGTCCGCCATCTTTGTTCACACAGGTTCCATGTTTACATGGTTTCCTGGTGCACTCATTGATGTCTGTGTGATAAATAAAAAAGATGAAAGCCACAAATGAAACTCAGTGCCAGCTAGGAAAGAAAGGAACAAAGTGAAAAAGGCATGGTTTTCTGCCTTGTGCATTTATTGATTTCAGAGTGTGTGGTAACAAACAAAAATTAGGCACTAAATGTAAATAAGAGTTAATTTAGAGTACAAGCACATATAACAGGACAGGTTTTGTTTTTTAATGATAAGTCTTTGGTGTGTTTTATTGTAAGTAGAGAACGTTGACTACAAAGTAATTTCCGTAACTCACCTTGCCGACAATGTTGTCCGGTCCATCCAGGTGAGCATGAGCAGTTGTAACCAACGTCTTTCCTCTCACAGGTCCCATGCTGGCAAGGCATCTTCATACACTCATTCACTTCTGTGTTAGAGAAAATTTGTATTAATAAAACAACATCATATCTACAAATAGGCGTTTTATATGCCTGAATACAAAAAAATGTGAAGAGGACTTCGAATTTGTCTGGAACAATTTGAGTTGGTATGTTGGTATGACTTCTTGGTCTAGAGGCAGGGTCACTAACAACCGGACGGTCAATGCTACTCCAAATATCATCCGCACAGCACCAGTCTTTGTCAAAAAAACCCAACTAAGCATTGAATCATATTGTTTTGATATTTTTTTTGAAATCATAGTTAAATCCTGCTCTAGAGTAAACTCTAACAACACAGTTAAATTTCCAAGCTACAACTACCTACCTGTTGTCGTCAGAGACATGAGAGTAGTCGGCATGGTCTTTATGGTTGTTTTTTCCAGTTTGAATCCCGATGGAAAAGGCAAAGTCGAGTTGACATCAGTCGAGATGTTCTCCTGGTAGAGAGATGTCCACCACGTAGTGCTTGGGTTAATATGATTCCCAACATGGTTTCTGGCGCTGTAAACCTCCTGGTAATCAATTGTATAGTATATAAACATATCTGAATTGTTCTGGATGATGTCTCTAATTCATTTTCTTGGCTCTTGGATTTAATGGTTTTTCTTTTTATCTTAGTATATATATAGGATATGTTTACACCATTCAGGTTATGAATCGATTACAGATACAGTATTTTGGCATTAACAATTGAAGGATTTGTTTACTCCTATCCTTGGTTACATATTTGTATCAGTGCAATGAAAGTAGAAAATTCATTATTTGCCATGTTAACCATCCTGTTACAGGCCTTTGCACATGTTGACATTAAATTGTGACTATAGTGTAGTATGGCAGTAGTATCACAGAATAGAATGTCCAAGTTCTTATAAGTTTGAGTCATACTTAATCATTTTTTCCTGCAGACCTGCGTAAGCAGATTACGTCTTGTGCAGAATAAAGAAGATATTATTTCGAGGCTTGGGAAAAAAACTAAAAAGCAATACCTCTTTCCCAGCGGTAAAATGGGAAACCAGTACAGCGGCAGACACAGCTAGTATCATAACCAGTCCAAAGCCCAATGCAATCCAGCAAATGGCCTTGGAGCTAGACTTCAGCCAATTCCACAGCTTGATGACACGGTCTAAAATTTAGAAAGCAATAACTTCATGACTTTCAAATTGCATATAATAGTAAGGCCATGTTGATTTTATATCATAACCAGTCCAAAGATGACACGATCTAAAATTTAGAAATAATAGCAATAACTTCATTACTTTAAAATTGCATATGATTGTAAAGCCATGTTTATTTTATCTGGATGCCACCCCCTTAGCTAATGCGACCAAGCGTCTAAATGCGAGCAAGCGAATAAAAGGGTTTGGCAAAAAAAATTGCCTATATTATCAAATCCACGTGGTCATTACGGTTGTATAGATGACTAATGAATAATAGACTCTTAATTTTCATTCCTCCATTTTTTTTCTTTTCTTTGATTTTGGCATATCGTTTTCTAATATTTTTTCTGCAATTTACCGCATGTATTTGCTCATTTTGCAGCTAATTTTGCTAATGCATGTAACTCTAATAAATCTAACTAAATCTTCCTTGTAGAAATTGTAATGTATACATGTACTAGCAGGCATTTCCTTCTATAGCCCCTACAAGCCCAGTGTCTATCGCATGGTAGTATTAGCTCTCCATAGCATGCCAAAAACCGGGGGTTTTGGGGGTCTTCGTGGTCTTTGGGAGCTTTTATGTGCTATTTTCTGATTGCATATAGACAACATAGCCGGCCTGGTTGAATTGTAATTACCCCCGTTTTTTTTAGAACTGGGCTAATAAGAAAACAGCCGAAGACCACCAAATCCCCAGTTCTATAAGCCTGCTACAGAGGCTATGGCAGTATTTTGCCTATCGTAACAAAGCCTGGTATAGCAGCTGACATAAATGTATATACCGTATTATGCATGTCATAATTTTCGGACATTTATAAAACCATTTCAAAATTACAAGTTTTGAAGTGTCATTCACTACACATAAGAAGCCTGCATGATATACATCCTTTCTATTGCAGGTGACATCTTTCCACAGGTATTATAAGGTGATATAACGGATGTGTTTCGTAGACCATGTTCTATGTAAATTACTTTTGCCATTGCCAACTCGCCAGAAATGATCCAGTCAATAGTGGGATGATTACTTGCAAAATTTGTACTATTGATCTAGCCTGGGTGCAATCCGATTTGTACCGGCAACCCCAAAAACTTATTCCGGGGTTTCCGTTACAAATCGGATGGCACCCAGGCTAAGGATGATCCTATCAATAGTGCATTTTTCTATTCGGTCACTGTTCCTGTCATTTTTCTAACCTGTCACGAATTATAATTTTATTGACATGGTCTTCCTGTCAATATCATCAGACCATAATTTATCCAGTAGCACAGATAATTACTTTGACGCACAAGCTAAAATAGTGATGTCGAATGCCAGTAAAACCAAATTACAGACCTTCCTGTCTTTCTTCATAGAACAGTAAAATCAAATTAGTGTAGCCTAATGTTATGGACATACCCTTAGCTTTGAAAGCAAAGCTTACGTCCTCCGCCTTTCCGTATCCATAGGCATCCTCAGCATCTTCTGATTCTTGGTCCACCTGATAAGCCACTACATGGTCTCCCACGTGGAGATAAATGGGCTCCGTGGATCCTCTACGCTCCGCATCGGCGTCGTTGCTGGGGACAATGCCATAGGGGCCAGTAGCCGTCTTCGTTCCCAAGAAGGTTTGGTCGTAGGCATGTTTACTGCGACCGGCAGACTTGCTTGGGACTTGCAGGTCTTCCTTCTTTGCTTTCTCAGGGATTGAGGGCAGCTCTTCCTTCTCTACTTTCTCTAGGGTGGAGGGCACTTTTTTCTTCTTTTGGTCGGGGTCTTTTTTCCTTGTCGGAGGCAGCACGTAATCGTTGGGTGTCGAAGACTTCCGTCTCGAGGTTAAGTTTGGGAATTCCAAATCTCCTTCCTCCTCCGTATCTGATTTTGACTTCGCTACGCCCTTTTTTTCTTTGCCCTTCTCTCCAGGCGAGAGCTTTTTGTCAGCTTCTGCCATTTCAACTGTTGAGATCGAAAAACACATTACACATTACCTTCTCTATAAAAATCTGTGCGAAACATGATAAAAAATGAGTTTAGCTGGTACTCAACTTAAAGTTTTTCCTTTAAAGCCTAAACTAAGATTAAACAAATCTTCATGTAAAGTAATTGTCAATACGAGGAACAGGTTTTATAGTATTTTCCCATAACGGCGGTTCCCCTGGGCCTGAAAATGGTACTGATTTGCTTTTGCTGAAAGACACTTCTAGGTGTGAACAATATATACAACAACAGAACTGTACATGTACATGTATGTTTCTGGTTGGAAAATAGCGAAAGAAATGGCCAAATGGTAAGTCTTTATCTGTATCTGTATAGCCGGTATAACCGCCCTTCATCGTAACTAACCAGCTAAGTCGAGAGGGAACGAGATCAAGAGGTCACTGGTTCATTTCTTTTCATTCCTGGATAGGCATTTTGCCCTCGAGAAAGGCACTTTGCATGCCTCACCTCAATCAACCCAGATGTAAAATGGGCACCTGACTTCGGTTGGGGAGGTACAATGCACTAGGAGGAGAGGAATTGGCTCCGCCTTTCCATATTGTGCTCTAGACACCCACTGCCCCTACAGCTTTATAAAAGGCTACGTGACTACATGTACATACACCCTTACCTACCTACCCTATCTGGAGGATAAAGGGAAAACTACAGATCACCTTAGTTTGTATCCATATCAACGGCTAACGCATTTAGCCAAGTCTGAGGCAATATCACAAAATAGAGTTTTCACTGCTGTAATGATTAAGTATGTTTTATATATCACCTGGGGAAGCAAACTGTGACCAGCATGCTTAATATTAAACTGTATAACACAACATCACATTGTTACATTACACCTGCTATACCTACGTAGTACAGACTAGTGACAAGGAATCATTCAAACAGCACCCAAAAAATGCAATCTCGAACAATGTTATGAGAAATGATTTCACATAACGTACATGCATACCTCCATGGAGTGATACAATCATATCCATACCTACAGCTTCCTTAAAATATCCAAAACGTAATAATACTGATATAGACCAGTAAACGTACCATCGGGAGCTTCCCCAGTATCTCTTCGGTGCTGGGGGTGTTGAACACCCGTCGCCCAGGTCGGATCGCACACGCTGGGGGAAATGTTTACTTGTACAGCAGTAATCAGATAGTCTGGCTGGAAAGTTATTCAGGCTGCCAGAAAAATGTATATGTCTAGTAGGACTGGGCCAGTAGGTGCCAGTAATACATTTATTCGAAGCTGTCCCAACCACAATGGATTCTAGGCTAGACTGAAAATGTTCATGTAAATGTCCACCAGACTAATATTGAATTGGGATCTGTGCACGTACAGCCCCTTTATGCGTGGGTGGCTCTAGGATATCTTTTTTTTTTTCAATACACTGCCAGTTGTTTGGTTTTTGTATTAGTAGCCTGATTTTTTTCTGACTCCAACAAAAACTAAAAGATATTACAAGATTATTAGTATCA